CTCTGCTTCACCACTAGTGTAACATCATAATACATACGATTCATACGTCTCTTTGTTTTTTTAAACTTTTTCATTGTTGTTTAACCTTTGAGTGGCCTAGATTTCAACAGCCTAATCTGTTTTGGGTTTCTTTATGGATGGCAGAATAAAAGCATCCTTATTTATGAAGATGCACGAGAAGTTCTGGTTCCTCCAGTTCGAGAACTCCAACTACTTATTACTCCTATGAAAACTCCGACACATCTTGAATTACTCGTAGATGATTTAATGTCCTGGGATCCTAACATAATATCTATAGTGCCATGTACTGACAGCAAAATACTCCAGGTATAAGTATATATGTTAAAGCCTAACAGCTATTTTCATATAGCCTAGCTAGAACATGCTATTTTACTGCGTTTATTCAATATATCTAATTAGTTTTTTTTTTTTTGGTTTGGAATAATAACAGGCATTGCGGCAGAATGTAACAGGAAACGTAGAGAAGGAAAATGGTGAACCTAACAAAGTTAGAATTTTTAAAGGCGCTGCTGCTGTGGAAGGGACGTCCAATTTGTATACTTGGCTGAAATCCACGTCCCTAATTGAGAAAATTACTACTTTTATGTTCAAATAATACGAAAATGCATCGCCCTGTTAGATCTTTAATTATCTTTCTTTTACATAGTAAAACTTAGGTAACATGCGTTCGAAATTTTTTCTTTTTTCACTTTGCTCTGAACTTGTGTGTTACATATGAAGTAAAATTTACCTTTTCGTACGCTTGTATGAAATTTAGAGCATGTTCGTGCGAGAAGTCGATGAAATTAATCAGCTATATCCTGGTGTTATTTGAACCACTTTTTTATTTCGAAATACTGGTGTTAAAGAATTCCAATTTCCTTAAGAAGACTCTCTTTTTCAAGAAATCTTCATCAGTATTTTGGGACTTTGCTCTAAATTATAGTTTACATATATTTGGATTTAACCAACTTTGCTTTTCTGTACGATTATATATTGGAAAAGGGTTAATGCATGCTTGGGGTGCAACAGGTGAAAGTCTGGTCATGATTTTACGGCTAAAAGATAGCCAGAGAGCTAAAATTTTCTTAGATGTGGTCTACTTTTATTTTTCGTTGTTTCATCTTTCGTTTAACCTTCTTGATTTGAGGCTTAAATGTTATACTCGTGTCAAGAAAACAAGGTTGCCCATACTCTTAAATTAAATCTACGTAGTTAACTGCATAAACTGAAATTTAGGTCCTTTTCTTTTCTTAATAAATTTTAAGAAATTCATCTCAGAACCCCTCTTTTATGTATTTTGGTGATCATCGATTGATCTCCGTTAGGATCGGAAACTCGGGTAGTGCGAAATTTAGCCAAACAACGGTATAATGACAATAACAAAGACAATGGAAGTTGATAATAACGACAATTAAAAAATATAAAAAAGACACAAATTTAACGTGGTTCGGTCAAGGTGACATACGTCCACAAGCGGAGAGGAGCAATTTCACTATACCAACAGGAGTACAAAAGAGAGTACAAAATTAGAGTAAATACTCTAATTAATCCCAAATACCCCAAGAGAATAACCTCACAAGATCACTCCAAAGAAAGGGTTCACACAAGTGTTTCCCAACGCTCACTCTCTTACAAAATACTCTATAATGAAATAAAGGAGGAGAAAGAAAGACAAGAGTGAAAAGCTCTTGAATTGGTGT